ATATATATATATATATATATATATATATATATATATATATATTCAAATTCTTTTCCCTTATAGGTTATTACAAAATATCGAGTATAGTTCTCCATGGTATTTCATTTATGTTAATGGTTTTATTATAAAGTAATTGTTCACAAATTAGTATAACTCATCTAAGTCTCTCTTGAGTTTGAGGTATGAATAGCCAACTGTCTTTGGATGTTTCAATCAGAGATATCTTTGGACACTAATACATACATCTAGTGCTAAATCTAAACTGGTTTTACTGCCTAAATTAACTCTCTTCCTGACATGATCACATCCACTCAATCTCTTGAGATAAAGTGAGTTATCTCCTCTTCACTTTGCTGTATTATCACAGCTTATGAATCACTGTACCCTAATTACACCACCCGGCAAACATTCTCAAATCTGCCCTACCCCCTGCCTCTCCTGCTTAGACCTGCTTCCGTCCATGGCTGGAACTGATGAGTAGAAAAACGTTTCTCAGGTTTTAAAATCCATGATCACTTTGAAAAACTCAAAAACCCCATAATGTTATGTCAACTTTCAAATATCGTATTAAAAATAAAACCAAAGACAAGACCCAACATGTAGCTTATGTCCTCCAAGTTAGAACAGTGTCCTCTTCTTCAGAGATGTTGGCGCTGCACCTTCTGAATCCTTTATTTCTCTCCCACTCACCATCCGTCACACACGCACTCTCACCCACACAAGCAGACAACATACAGATACGCACACGTGGACGCTCACAGGCTCCAGCAGTGAGTACATGTTGTAAATCATCCCCCACAAGCTGATGTTTCGGGGCCCCCAGGCAACTGTTTCCTCCTTCTGGAGACCGTATTCTAAAGCTGCTTCCTATTCAACTAATCATCCTTCAAAATTCATATGAACCGTCGCAGGCTCTGAAAGTCCTTCTCTGACCCCGTCAACCCCAAAGAGATTGAATCATTTTCTCTTTTTTAAACATACTTCTAGTGTTGCAGATATCATGTATTAATACCATTGAGTGGATTATGTAATGCTGCCCCCAACTTGGGAAGGAACTGCTTTATCTATGCATCTTATACCTGAGGAATAGCAGCCATCAAACTCAATTTATTGAACTCCACTAATGTTTTTAGTATATTTATTACTTTGATTAAGTGATGACAACTTAGGCAGCATGCTTAAAATACGTGACATTTTAATAACTGAAAAAAGAATCTTCCGGGAGTTTACACACACAGTTATCAAAATATAAAGTATATTGACATGTGCAGCCATCAACCTAGACTTGCAAAATAGAAGATACAAGTGACCCAAGTACAGTCACCCTACTCCCTATCCACCCACTAATAATCTATCTCTGTTTTCCTACTCACTATGCACAATCAACATCTCCTTCTCCGGACTTCTCATTTTCTCGTCACACCTATAGAAATAGAGTATTTCCACCCACTTATATGCTAAAACTGCTACGTCAAATGCCACCAATGACCCCTCTGTGGCCAAATCCAATGCACATTTTTTTTATCTCTTAAATTATTGATTTTCTGTGCCATTTGCTACTGTTGGGCATCCCTCCTGAGTCCTTCTACCACCGTGGTTTCTCCTGCTTCTTTGGCCACTATTTCTCAGCTGAGCCAGGGGAGCTTCTTCTTTTACCTACTCCTTAAGCATTGGTTTTACCCAGGCGCTTTGTTATTTTTTCCAACTCTGTACCCTTTGTGGATGTTATCTAGTTCCCCAGCTAACTGAGTGCTTCAGGTTCATGTACCCAACTTTTTCTTCAACAGGTACCCTTAGGTAATGCACGGGTGCCCCAAATCATCGTATCACAATCTGAACTCCTCACTGCCCAGCCATCCATAGGCCTGATTTGCTTTTTTATCTCCCCATCTCAGCTGGCGGTCCTCAATCAACCAAACCATTGAAATGACAGCCCCCTAAGCTCTTTCCTTATAAAGCATATTCAATTGACAACTAAGCACTGCCTGTTTGCCTTCTTACTAAGCTCTTGAAATGTTTCCTTCCCACACCCTCTGCTACTCCTGTAGGTCAAGACCTTCTCTGGACTGTTGCAATAGTCTATTAATTGACTTGCTTGTCTCCAGCTGTGTCCACATCCTGTTCATATTCCATTATCCCTACTTCTGCCAAAGTAAGTAATACATATTTTATATAAACACACACACAGTGCAAATCTGACTAATTAAAATCCATCAGTGCATCATCATAATTTAAACAAAAATAGAGTCAGCGGAGGGATTGTCAGAAAAGAGGATCCAGCAAGATGACAGCTGCTTCTTCTCAGCCACTCTATTCAGAGGGGCCACCAGGAAAGTCCCACTAGGTGCATGGTAAGTTACAACAAGATTTCCACAACTAAAGTCTACGGAGAGCAGAAACAAAGTAAGAAAAAACATTATCTAAAGTCTCATTGGCAAGAATGCCAATAGCTGTTTCACATCTAATAATTCCAGTTTTAAGTGGACATTGGAATAAGTGGGACCAATTAAAATGGAACCTCAATATGTGGAATAAAACACATCTTAAAATCAACTTTCATTCCTCAAAGAACTTTCCCCAAAGTTGCTTGAATCCTAATATAAGTAAAATGTTTTCTAATGCCTAGAACGTAAGATGGAAAGTGGGGATCATTACATTTTTTATGAATTATCAACCAAAGTTCCACCATCAGGAAAAAGGCTTTATAGCTAGAACATTTATAGAAAAAAATGGCAACATCATTAAGAGTTCTTCCTCCAACTTAGAACTTTAAAAAATGTAATTATAAATCATTTTTACTGTGGCTAAATCTAAATTATTTGTATTCCTTGAAAAGTACTGACTAAATGTAGAAGACAATATTCGAGTATATTTATTGAGATAAAGTCTATAACCCATCTATGGAGCCTCTTGAAATTTATTTACCAAAATTTTTTATCCTAAAACATAAATAATTTTGAATCTGTGATTGTATGTAACATACAAATTATAAGCATTTAAACGTCGTATTTAATTTCAGTCTTTGCCAATGGGAATAAAAACGACACAGCAAAAGAATTACAAAAATTTACTTTTCTTCTCATAGCCTTTTGACAATCTTCTTACTTTATTTTGGTTTTATTTCAAAGAATTCTCAGATAGCTAAAAAAAACCTATAGAAAATCACTCTCAAGACATTTCTTCAATGGCTTTTGCAAAAAAACTTGGAAGGAGACATTTCCCCGGTAGTAACTACTTGGCTGTAATGGCTATTATAACAGCACTGCTGAGACATTTTCAGGAAATGTTTAATTTTTCTTACCAGGATCATAATTCTTTTCAAAAGATTGAATATATCTTGCTACTCTGCAGAATTTTAAAGCTCTTCAAGTTTCATCTCATCAAAATCCACATTTTCAACATAGTTTACTTATTTGGTTTCTCCTCTAGTTCCCTTAGGTTGGTCATTTAACCCTTCACGTATCCACACTCGGGGTTACAATAACAAAAACAAAACCAGTGGGCCATCCCTCTTTTAGATTGTCCCTTACCTTTAAATGACCCAGTGCGAGGTTGGCCATGAACTACCTGTGCACTTCCCTTATTCACAACAAGGAAAGTAGCCCTTTCTGTACCTTTTCTCCATATTCCTAGAGTCGTAGGCTCCAATCCACATACATTCTAAATCCAAAATGTATAGAATTTCTGACACCCTAGAGCCCTAAAAAATGTGTCTCTTTCCTCTAATTAGCTTTATGCTTCCCATATGACATTAGAAACAGCACTTAATAAAGATACTTGATACACAGAGCTCCTGTTTCCAGATCATTTTATCTAATTCAATAGTAGCTTTTTACCCCCCCAGACCCCAGAGGAGCCACAGTTTGTACACCCGCATGCAGTGTAAATGAATGCATATGTAACCAGCGATGTGTGTAAGAGACGACATTTTCAGTCAATAAAACCAATGCCATACTCACGGTGAAGGCTGGTGGGGCTGGTGTTCAACATTTCTTGGGGTTTTGCAGGCAGCAGGCTTCACCATGTCCCTGACCACACACCTGGGGCGCATGATAGACAGCACAATGCACTATTAATTATAAAACGGGGAGAAACATCTGGAAATTAAACATGGTACTGAAAACAAGTCTAAGGGAAACTCTTTGCAAACCCCTTAATGTTAACCTGGAGTCCCTGGAAAGCCCTGGGGGTTGGAAACCTTCAACTCAGGCTTCCAAGAGCTCATTTACACCCAAATGAAGTCCGTGCTGGCCTCGGTATTGGATTTCCCTTTTAGTACCAATAAAATGATCGTCAGCAGCCTTCCCCATAGGAGCAAGGCTACTGAAAGCTTTGGCCTCACTGTATCAAGACATCTGAAAGCTTAAACATAGGAACGGCTGTTGTGTTTAAAATGCGCAGGACGTTCTGTGGCTTTGGCTGTTTTATTAAAAGACACGGACTCTTGTTTCACACCCTTTATCATACACAGGTCTTTCTCTTTATGAAAAAAGAGATCTGAGAGCCTTCAAGACACCCCCCAAGTTCAAAATCCCTTCAAGCTAAGAAAAGAGGAAGAGTCAGAAGGAAATGTGCATAAATAAAGTGTGTGTATGTATGCGTGTGTGTGTAAAATAAAGAGAAGATACCTGCATAGTGTGAAAATAAACAGGAAAAGGTCTTTGCGTCTTATGTTCTCCATCAAAGAATAAATAAATGCAGAGGATGGATCACAGCTCCAAAGGGCAGCAAGAGGAGATGCCTTTAGCCTCATGTCAACAGGGCTTACAGAGTGCTGGAGAGATTCATTGGCATAAGCAAGAAAACATCCCCTTCTGAGGCTGTCCTTGGATGGCTCAGATGTTCCTTCACTTCAAAAGCTTTGAAACAAACCTTGCTTTGAATAGGGAAGCCCTGATCATAAAGCTGGGGCCCTACATCTCACACTTTGCTACATGGAAAAGCCCCTTAGGACACAGCATTCTCAACCATGAACTTGGTTCTTAACGTTCATGGCAGCTTTGACTGCCCCTGGAGGTTTGACTACCCTGCTGATGTTTAAGGCCAGTCATGTTATTCCAGAAGTGGATCGGGGTGAGGCAGTGGCAGATAAACTGCTTTCTCAGAGCTAAAAGCTGCACAGCAAAATTCTCCACTTCTGAAAGAAATGATACAGGGAAACATCGTGGACACAATGCATGGAAACGTGCACACACGCACACACACACACACACAGAGCTCATTCCAAACAAGATCAAGTGAGACTTAGAAATCAATGTGTAACGTGACGAGAAAAGAAAACAGGGCCATTTCAAAGCCTTCCCTCCTGGGCTCAAAGGAAAGAAACACGGTGTTTGTCTAGTGCAAGTGCTAAACTCTTAATGGACTGGTCACCAGTCAAAGGAGGAGAAGGTCACTCAGGCAGCAGGGTTCAGAGAACATTCAAGCAGGCAGTTGCCAGGGAGAAGTAATACCCCAGGGTTTCTCAGCTCTGAAATGTTAATATAACTTACACCAGTACAGCGCTCAGGAAGTTACATTTCATAGCACTGGGAAATCTTTAGCAATTCCCACTCAACTAAAAACAGCCCACGCGGTGTGTTGAATCTACGTGCACTGGTTTGAGAAAATATCGGAAATATCACCAACTTTGGAAAAAATTTTGAAGAATTGTATGTATGAGAAACCATATGCAACCTCTGTCTTAGTTCATTTCTTTTTTTTCTTCCCCTAAAGATTCAGGTATTTAGACAAAGCTTTGGGAAAAAAAGAAATCTGTCACTTAGAGTTTTCCTTCAATATGCTTTTAAGTAACTCTTTCCTAATAAATGTGGAATGTCAGCCAGCACGAAGGGTAGGTTTCTAAGCAAAACACATTTGTGTGTGTGTGTGTGAAAGACCATGTCTATGTAAGGAAATTCTCATCTAATCTCAAGTGGTCTTGTTTTAAAACTATAATAGCTGGCATACTTCACCTGTCTGCACATGCTATAGAATCTTCTAAGTAAAAACTTGCATTTCTGAACTTTAAAGTTTCATTGGATAATGAGAATAAACACATCAATACTCAAAAGCAATATACTTAGAATTTAAATGTACTTAATTTAAAATATACTTACTTAAATTAATTAATATATTTTATTTTTAAAAACATATTTTTCATACTGACCTATAATCCTAACCTCAGTTCCAGAGTGAGGTAGCTAGCGATTGAATCTGTTTTCATGGAGAAAGCTGTTTGATTGATTCAGATTGCTAGTTATTCAAGCAATTTGAGGGAGCTCTAACCTATGGCAATATGTATTCCTACATCTTCTAATTTGACTTCTTTTAGCTGAAATTGCTTCTAGAGAAAGACAAGGAAAAAAAAACCTACACTCAGAACAAGATACATAAAATAATACAATGCACTCCTCAGAATTTTGTCAGCCTGGGTGGATGAGCATTTCTTTAAAGTTGTAATTGGATTGTTGTGTCTGGCCTATTGAGGTTTGAGGGATAAACCATAATGGTGCTGCCAGTTGTAATATGTGGAAACTGTTCAGCTCCAGCAGTTTCCATTCTCTCCCAGGCATTAGACTTATTATAATAACATGGACCTCTCATACTTTAAGAAACACAAGAGTGTTATGTCAGCAGGTTGCGGTGATCAAGGGTCTTTCTTACGTATGATTTATTCCTTCAGCCAGACTCAAGGAGGCCACAGACAGGCCACAATGCCAACTCCCCAGAATGGTTATGGATGGAGAGGCCAGGAGTCCAAGGTGGTGACCTCTTATTCTTGCAAAGTCTTCAGTTATTCAGGGGGTTATCAGATGTGGACTCTTCACAGCCTTGGAAGCGCTTGTGAGCATCCCTCACCACTCAAGCAACACTGAGGATTTATGCAAATGAGGCCTCCTGCAAGCATCTCAGGGAAGCTCCCCCTGACTCCGCCCTCCGCGCGGCTGGGTTTTATGAATGACTGCAATCAAGGCTGAACGGCTGCCAACTGCCCACTCTTCCCTGCACGTACACACAGAGAAACCTGCCCAGCCGCAAGCCCACAGATGAGGCCGTGGCAATGCTTTCATCCCCCCAGACAGGAATGAAATGTGCTTGCGGAGACTTAAGAGTATGTGAATGAAAAATTCTCAGTGCCTTCGAAAAACACAATTTACATAATTACTTTCTCTCTTTTGAGTTTCCATTTTGGTGCCTGCAGTCACCAGCCCCCCTTCTGCCTCCCCTTCCCTGCAAAAAACTAAAAAACAAACAAACAAAATCTCACTATTTTATGAAATTTTAACTCAACTGAACTTGATGACCGTGTCAGGAGTCTAGTGACTGGGCAGTGAGCTGTCACATAGATGATGCCACCTTTGCATTTCTGTTCACATCTTTTGGGTTTGGGAGTTTACTCGGGTTTCTCCTGTCATTGCTGGAGACAATAAACAGTGCTGGGGGAAGTGTATGTGTGCTTGAGGGAATGAAACACTTTTCAAATACACAATCTTCTAATTTGCTGATCTCTGATCAAAAACACAGAAACAAGGAAAAACGGGCAAGAAGAGACCTCAGGGGCTCTGTAAGCAGCCATTTGCTTCTAAAACTCTCATTCAGCGCTCCGGACTCCTCTTCCATAAGACATTACCCAAAAAGACCCAAATATCCGCAAAATCCCTGTCTCCAGCCTGACCCTCTCTAACTCCTGACATCCAACCGTCTCCACAACACTTTTGCTTGGCTTTCCAGCAGGCCTCTCAGAATCAGCATTGCCAACTGGAATCCACCCTGCCCCACACACCTGACCCTCCACGGCCGTCACCATCTTGGCTGATTGTAAATAGGTTTCTCTAGCTGTTCAGGCCAAAAGCTTTAGACTCAAAGCCTCGTTTCTCTCACACCTGTGTCCAATCCATCACAACGGTTCTCCTTTCCAAAAATGTGCAGAGTCTGTCCATTCCTCCTCTGTCCCCCATGGCCATCCTGATGGGGCCAGTATGGTCTTTTCCTTGGATTCCCACAATAGACTTCTCCCTGGCTGCCTGGAAGAGACCCCTTGGAAAGATAAGTCAGATCATAACTCCCCTGCTCAAAATCTTGCAGCAGTGCCCCAGTTTACTTACAAAAAATGCCAGAGTCCTTAGAGTGTAGTCTGGCCTCGTAACTCCCAGAGTTCTTCTCCTACTATCCCCTCCCCAGCACTCCCCGTCCCATTCACTCTACCCCAGCTGCAATGGCCTTTTCTTGCTGGTCTTCCTCAGATGTACCAGGCTTGGTTTTGCTCAGGGCCTTTGCACCAACCGTTGCTTCCATTGGGAATGCTCCTCCCTGATACGGGTAAGACTAACCCCCTCACCTCTCTGCAGTCTTGGCTCAAACATCAGTGTTTGGTGGTTCTTACTCTGATTACCTGCTTATGACTACAGTCTTCCCCCACCAGACTTTCAGTGCCCTTCACCTTGCTCTACTACTTACTACATGTGCCCCTCCCCGGGGCCTCCACCCAGGCTGAAATACAAGCTGCTCAGGAGGAAGGATCTCTGTTTGCTTCAATGACAAAGGCCCGGAGCCCAGGACAGGGCAGGATGTAATAGTCACTCACTACATATGTGTTAAATGAATGAATAAGATAAAAAGATAAAAAGCTGTTAGTACTCTAACATGCTAAAACACAGTGATTTGCAAGAGATTTAGGTAATGCTTTTTTGCAAGATTACAGCATATTTCTATAAAATATCTGTAAAATATAAATTAATCCATGATCAACACATTTTATGATTTGAATAATCCACTAAATTTGTTTTTATATGGTTTGACTGAGGGTCATTCTCTTTCCAAACAAGAAAAAAAAATGACTTATTTAGTGGAAAAGACTCTTCAGTGTCACATTATTGCTTTGAACAAATGAGACACTATCTAACATTTAGTATACTGCTATTTTATCAAATAAAACTTTAAAATAATTAATTGTACATGAGGTAATTCCTTAATAGTAAAGAGAGAAAATTAATCCCCTTTTCTTTTGATTTTTCTAAACAGGGTAGGAAAATAAGAAAAACTGTTTACTGTCATCTACTAAAATGTCCACAGATATTTAGATAGTATCTTATTTAATCTTCACACTGCCCTGCAAAGGAGATGCGATTGTCCCATTTGACAGATGAAGAAACTGCTAAGATCTAAGAGATGAAATTTATTTTTCCAGTGATAATTGGAAAATGTTGATATTTTAAGAAGCCAAGATTTGTATCCAGGTTTGTTTGGGACCAAAGCTAATGTCCTTTCCATCATTCCAAGGAGCGTTCTGACATTAATACTTAAAAGATAAATGGAAACTAGTAAAAATCAATCATGAAGTTACAGAGTCCAGTATCCTCTGATATGTTTCAATATCACTGATTTCATGACATAGGTACATTATTGAAGCTCTTCAAATAACCTCACATAACTGAGTGTTCTTGAAACAGTATTCTAGTATTTACTGCAAGACCATATTCTCCAAATATATCAGGAGAACAATGGTGATAGCAGGGTGTCAGTTTGGCTAAATTGAAATGTAGAGTGACCTTGAGACCAGTGGGAATGTGAAATGCAAGGCATGTCATCTGGTATAGAGAAAAACAGTTTATATAAGAAAAAGAATCAAGAAAGCGAAAAAGATTTAAAAGATCATTTGCAAGACACATATAATTCAATTGATAAAAATCTTTTCAAAAATGTTTTTCAAAGGAGGTCATCAAAAGTGATCTTCTCATCTCCACTTACAAATACTAAAAGAGGAAAAGCTGAAAAATGTTATTTTACAAAATAAATTTTAAAAATTGCATATTCATGTCAACTTAACAGTGAACCAATCAGTATGATGACTGTTACCGCTAAGATGAAGATGAGACAGTGAAAATTCCCTACCAGAAGGGGAAAGTGGATGTTGGTATTTTGAAAAGCCAGATGTACTAATCACAGATCATCAGGGCCTGGTCCACCTCTGATGTACGTTCAGGGAACCCTCAGAAGCTACGTAAGAGTGGCTTTTATTTTTAAAAAGACACGGAGGACAGGCAAGGTAGGTTCCTGATTATAAGAAAAGGGAAACCATTTTTCACAGTGAGTGGTGAGGGCTATTATACCTCCCTTAACCAGGCCAGGAAGTTATTCACCAAACCAGGCACAAAAGTATAGGATTCTAAAATAAAGGTGATTACAAGATACAGATTCGCTACAGAGATTAATGGGTGATTTTAAAGTTTGGAAAAACAAATTTTTCAAAGACTGATAAGATGGTGACCTAAATGGGAAGGAAATCCAAAAAACAGGGGATATATGGATATGTATAGCTGATTCACTTTGTTATACAGCAGAAACTAACCCAACATTGTAAAGCAACTCTACTCCAATAAAAATTTTAAAAGTTTTGATAAGAAGGAAAATCATAGGCAAGAGGTCAAGTCCTTGGTCTTCTGGGTTATTCACACCTGCCTGTTTATCACCTCTTATGTCTCTGGAATGCTTATAGGCTTAGTTCTACAAGGTCCTAATATTGCCTCCAATATGGAAGCAGTATGGCCAATTAACCTCTTTTTACCCAAGCTATTATTCTCTGTTAACACAATCAGTTTCTTTCTCCAGACCTTTGGATTTATATCTGCTACCATCCCCCGCATGCCATCCTGTTGACAATTTCCTACTTACTAATCTGTGTGCATTCTCCAACAGTCACCTGCTGCTTGCAAAATACAACACAACTTTCGAAAAATCAAGATCACCAGAAAATACTTTCCACTAAACCAGCAAGAGAGAACGACTTCTGTGCATTCCACAGGGGGGGAGAAAACCCTCTATCTAGTGAGAAGTACGGGACTTCCAGAGGCAGGAAGCAACCATAGCGTCAAGGCAGCAGGTCCTGAACCCTCCAAGGGTAAAGAGAGAGGAGCTCCAGTGGAAAGGCGGATGGTTGAGGGGAAAGAGGGTGATGTGGAAATAAAGAGTGAGGATAATTGCTCAAATGTCGACAAAAGGCGGGTTTTGAGAAAAGAGGCATG